TGGGTGCCTCTTGTGGAGCTTTAATCGCCCTAGGAAGGCGAAAATAGCCATCAATCATTAAATATTTTAGCCTGTTTAGGTGACAGCAAGGTGAAAATGAGCATGCAAACATAATGAGGGAGTGTTCTTTATTGGTAATGGCCTCAGGGACCTAACTATGTTTTACGTTCCTGACCTCTATGTTTGCCATTGCAGCCATATCTATGCACAGTTTCTGTAGTGCGCCCAGGGTTGCATCAATAACAGTGTAGGCCACACATGGTAAATAAATGGATGATACATACACATTTATATTTCTTATGCTTGTGTATCTTAATTTATTACATGCTATAGAAGTTTTACACTAATAAAGTATTTTATTTTAATTAGGATACATTGGTTTTAGAGTTCAGAATAAATGTTTTTGTTTTAACCCTTCATCACTATTTAGTTTTATTATATGATTAAAGAAGTATTTGTTCCTTTAATTGTAAGTAGTCAGATGTATTTAACTGTGGATTTAGAATTTGCAGAGAATCAACCACGGACATCAAATCATTTGGGCTGACTATGACAATTTACTGTGTAGTAAATTGCCTGAAGCGCCATCTATTCACTTGCCTTGAACTTTCATACAAAAATATGTCAGTGCTAAATAATATTAATACATAATAAATCATATATAAATAACCAAAAACAATAAATCGCACTAATTGGCTTGCAATTTAGCCGCAGGAGTGTGGCTTCCCTGTGGTGCAGTGTAGATCTGGGCTGGCCAAGAACATGGCAAGGACAGGTACTTAGGCAGGCCGCTCACCTCCCACATAGTATCTCCTTTTCAAGAGTTGGAATTACATCATCTGAGATCATTTCCTTTCAGCACTACCAGGAGTGAATTGAGCGCTATCTCTCACTGCCCGCTGCAATTGGGCACGAACAGATAACTGAGGAAGTTCTACTGGAACCTCTGTCAGGCCAGCTTCAGGTGAGATCCTCAGATCTCCCCATCTTGTTAGGGTCTGGCAGGCTCAGGTGCAGTTTTAAGTCAACATATGTGTCATAGGTTGCTAACCCCTAGTCAAAATTCAAGAAAGAATGAGCAGGGGTACCATTAATAAAGGATAGCAAAGTGGTATTGGGGCTGTGAGCCATTTAATACAAACTGCACACTGTCAAGGGTGCCATATAACTATAGTAATCGTCAGAAAGTAGTGTGTAACACCAAATGCATTTAAAAGGATTTACTAAATTGCATTAATGCAAAAATATGCTGCAAGGATAAAAAAATTATACTCCGATACCAAGTATTAAATGTTATTATATAAGCAATTCTGGAACCAAAAATAATTATGACATTTTAATCTTTTCCAACAACAAAATAAGGAATTGCATGGCATTAAACACCCCTTTCTGACACTTGCTGGGTTCAGGGATCTGCTGTGAGAAATTGAAGCAAGCCTCTGACACACAGGGGTCGGATTCCAATGCTCTCTGATACTGTTGTTATGGGAAAAGCATCTCAAAGCTGTCAGAATGGGTAATGAAGATGTTTAGTGGAAATTTCCAGGAGTTGTATTAGCCTCTCACCAGACAGTGGAAATTTCCAGTGCTGATTATAGCCAAACAGCATCCTCTTATCCTCTGGTATTAGCAGAGTAATGCGTAGGTGGATACGAATTCATAATCCTTTATCAATACCAGGCAACATTCCACATGAGACTCTTAGAATTCTATGAGACAATGTCTGACTAAACCCCAAGCCCGATATTCTATGCATGTTTAAAAAAAAAAATTAAACAGCTATTGCAAAATCTACATAGAGTGCACACTGTGGGAAAGAATCAATAGTAAAGTGAGCCAATCATCCAAATCGTGCGAATTAACATTTCGCTATATCACTAGACCTAATATCTGTAAGATCACCCCATGCATACTTTCACCACTCCAAGCACAGGGTTCTGGACTAGATGGGGTCTTGACTGCTATGTTGCGAGTGTAGCAATAAAGCTCTAGAACAGGGGTTGGCAATCTTTGGCACTCCAGATGTTGTGGACTACATCCCTCACAATGGTCTTACACCCATAATGCTGGCAAAGCATCATAGGAGGTGTAGTCCAAAGCATCTGGAGTGCCGAAGGTTGCCTATGCCTGTTCTAGAACTATATTGCTACATTCAGCATAAGAGTAAAGACTCCAGCTAAGGGCACTGCTCCAACTAGTCCAGAGATCTGTGCTATGTGTGGTGAAAGTCTGCATGGGGCGATCTTACAGATAGTAAGTCTAGTGATATCGCCAGCATAGTGTATAGATTATATCAACGAACCACCAGTCGTTCTCCCCTTCGCCAGCTCCTCCACTAGCCCATCCACATGTCTCATTCCATTCCCGCCAGCCCCCCCCACGTGTCTCATTCTTCCCATAGCCCTTCATGTGTCTCATCTCCCCACACCTAACGCCTCCATGTGTCTCTCTCACCTATGTGTGTGACAGACACAAAAAAACTGACAGACAGACACGCAAATTAATTTTAATTTTTTGAGGCCCATCCAGCCTCCCTACTTTTGGGAGAGCTGGTCTGGGTCCTCTCCCTGGAGTCCAGTGTGGGGCTGTGCTTTGACTCTCTCCTCCTGTGTGCGAATTAGTATACCAGGGCTGAAATTATGTCATATTCTGGCTCCCGGCATCACAGTTGGCACTTTAAGGAGGTTTTGCAGTAGTTATTTAAAATCTTTTTTAAAAATTCTATGAATTTAAGATCATGTCTGACTAAAACCCATGCCCAACTTCAGGTTGATTTTAATTTTAAAGATTAAAAAAAATTCTATGATTTTTTTAAAAAAAATTTTCATCTTTAAAATTAAAATCAATTGCATGTTGGGCATGGGTTTTAGTCAGACATGATCTTAAATTCATAGAATGTTGCCTGGTATTGATAAGGGATTAAGAATTTTTAACCTCCTACACATTACTCTGCTAATACCAGAGGATAAGAGAAGAGGCTGTTTGGCTATAATCAGCACTGGAAATTTCCACTGTCTAGTGAGAGGCTAATACAACAACTGGAAATTTCCACTAAGCATCTTACATCTAGCTTCTCCATAATATCTGGAGTGCAAAAGATTGCCTACCTTTGCTCTAGAATAGGGGTTCCCAATAAATTTTTCCCATGGAACCCTTTGAGACATCGTGTACCAAGATCATGGAACCCCTGAAAACATTTAGCGCCACAGCACAAAGCTTTTTTTTTATTTTTTATTAACAGAGCATGTTTTCTTTTTTGGCAAATTTCTACAGATCGTAAACTGATTGTAGTACTAAGGAGCAGCGGTGCTTCTTTTTGTATATAATGTTAGCATTTTAATACAGAGGTGTGTTTATATGTTATGCTTGCATTTACGTGCAGTGGTATGTTTTGATGTAGTGTTGGATTTTAAATGCAGATGTACATTTGTGTGTCGTATTGGTGTTTGAGTGAAGGGTGTGTTTTATTGTTTGTATATAATTTTAGAGTTGGAGTTCAGGGGTGTCTTTATGTCATATTTGTGTTTGCAGGGGTGTTTGCATATACTGTGTTGGTGTTTTGATTGTGTGCACATACACACATATACATACACAACAACAAACAGAAACACACATAGAAACTCTGGCACACACAGTCATATACATACTGACATACACACTGGCAGATATGCACACTGACAGATACACAGGCACACAGATACACTCACAGAAACACGGACGCACACTGGCCCAAAACTACACATACATAGATACACACACAGACAGAAACACACTGACACCTATACACAGATACACTGGCACATACAAACACACATTGACAGATACACTGACACATAGATTCACACTGGCACATACACTCAGATACACACACTGACACACAGGTACACACTAGCACAGACACACACACTTATATGCACACACTAGCAGATACACACATTGAGATTCAGGCTCACACCCTGGCACATGCACACACTTAGGCTCACACCCAGACACACAGATACACACACACACACACACACACACAAACACACAGGTCATACATAGTTGCCAACTATCCAGTTTTTGCCAGGACAATCCCGGCAAGTTGGAGACTTACCTGGGACAGTCCCGGCATGTGCGCTTGTCAGTCGCCTGTGTATCCATAAGGTGGCGCACCGGCCTGGGGGGCGCAAGATTAGAGTAACCGGCAGGATGGAATCGCACAGCACTCCCTCCTGCCAGTCACTCAGTGTAGTGTGGCCGAGCAGAGGGAGCCGCGGTACAGGAGCTTCAGTTTCCTATACCCAACAGGACTGACAGGAAGTGTTCACGGAGAGAGCACTTCCTGTCAGTCTGGCATGGTACAGGAAAAATAATTTTTCGTTCCACGGTCTGCTCCACTCTGCCATGCTACACAGGGAGGCAGGAGGTACACCAGGGAGGGGAGATAGCACTAAGGGGGGAGGGAGAGGAATACTAATGGGGGAGGGAGAGAAATACTAAGGAGGGGGGAAAGGAACACTAAGGGGGTTGTGGGAGAGAGGACCACTGAGGGGTCCCCCTTAGTGTTCCTTTTAGTGTCGTCCCCCTTAGTGATCCTTTTCCCTTCCCTCCTTTTTCTCTTAGAGTGCGTGTCCCTCCCTGTTCCTCTCTCCCCACCCCCCTTAGTGGTCCGCTCCCCTCCCTCCTTTGCATGCCTCCTACCTATCTTGTAGCGTGACCTGGCGGAGCGGGAGGTGGAGAGGAACACTAAGGGGGGGGGAGAAACACTGAGGGGAGAGGAATAATGGGGGGGGGAGAGGAACACTAATTGGGGGGAAGAGGACAACTAAGGGGTCCCCCCTTAGTGTTCCATCTAGTGCCCCCTTCCCTCCTTTTTCTCCTAGTGTGTGTCCCTTAGTGTTCCTCTCTCCCCACCCCCATTCTCCCGTTAGTGGTCCACTCCCCCCCCTCCTTTGCATGCCTCCTACCTATCTTGTAGCATAGCCTGCCGGAGCGGGGGGGTAGGGGACGGGTGGAGAGGAACACTAAGGGGGGGGGGGGGAAGAGGAACACTAAGGGGGTTGGGGGAGAACACCCTTAGTGTTCCTTTCAGTGCCCCCCCCTTAGTTTTCCTTTTCCCTTCCCTCCTTTTTCTCTTAGTGTGTGTCTCCCTCCCAGTCCCTTAGTGCTCCTCTCTCCCCACCCCCTTTCTCTCCTTAGTGGTCTGCTCCCCTCCCTCCTTTGCATGCCTCCTACCTATCTTATAGTGTAGCCTGGCTAAGATTCCTTCTAATATAGAAATTGATATGTTCCTCCTTAAAATTAGATTTTTCGAAAAAATATTGGACTGCTTCGATTCATTTCTCATGTGGAATAGTGCTATATAAAGAGGTAACATCACATGTTAAAATCATATAACCTTCCTTCCATTGAGCCTGTTCTAAAGTTTGTAACATATGAATTGTGTAGATAATACCACAAACTATTCATGAACATATACAATATAAAATTCACACAAATACAACCTTATTGTCAGGGCTTACCTTTGTTGGGAGTCCGGTAGGCAGAGATTTGTGCTCACCCTTGTAGATATACACAGTCCAAGGTGATAAGGTTAGGCACCCTAAAGTACAAACACACACGCCGCGCATACATATATATACATATATATATATATATACACACACACACACACACACACACACACACGTGGTATATGTGTTTGTGCTTTAGGTTGCACACCCTTATGCAATAGGCTGTGCACGCCTATGCCAGGACTGTGAATCTGTGCACTGGGGCTGTGTATGAAAGGTGTTCCAATATGCAGTACAGACAAGGGCAAATCCAGAAGAGTAGTCACGGTTCCAAAAGTCAGGGCAGGCCAGCGAACAGGCAATAACCGATAATCCGAGAAGAAAGGGTCACAAGCCAAGTCAGTGTTAGGAAACAGGATACAACGAACTGACGCTGCCCTCAGGGAGAGGCAGTGTTATATATGTTGGATAATGATCCATCTGCCTCAGGTGGTCTTTGATAGACAGATGCA